CGGAGTCCCCTGGCGGCCTCCTCTGGAAAGGCAGCTACCGGGGGCAAGAGGAGTCTTGTTGCCTTTAGGATCCTGTAATCTCCACAAGGGCCTGAGACAATGTGCAGACTAAGAAGTCTCTCTACCGCTGCCAGCGTAGCTAGAAAAATGCCAGACTAGAAAAGATGTTTTCCTGGCTGGGTTTTTGTCAACTTGACAAAACCTAGGAAGAGAGAATCTTAATTGAGAAAATACTCCTTAAGATAGCCTATTGATTTGCCCAGCATTTTCTTGATTAATGATTGGCGTGGGAGGGCCCAGCCCACTGTGGGTGGTGCCAATTTGGGGCAGGTAGTCCTGGGGTGTAGAAGAAAGAAGGCTGGCCCGGCCAGCACCCGGGAGGCAGAGGCAGGGGGATCTCTGTGAGTTCGAGGCCAGACTGGTCTACAAAGCGAGTGCCAGGATAGGCTCCAAATCTACACAGAGAAACCCTGTCTCGAAAAACCAAAAAAGAAAGAAGGAAGGCTGAATAAGCCATGATAAGCAAGTCAGTTCTTCCGTGACTTCTGCTTCAGTTTCTGTTTCCAGGTAACTGCCTAGAGTTCCTGTCCTGACTTCCCTTTAAGGCAGACCATGATCAGAATGCATAAACCCCATAAGCCCTTTCCTCCCAAAATTCTTTTTGGTCGTGCTGTTTTGTAACAGCAATAGAAACCCTAACTAAAGTCCACAAAAGCTTTTCCCAAGGTACTCAGAAAGGGCCAAAGGAATTAACTTTCTTCAAAATTTTCTGACTGTTGTGAAATGCCTTGGACTGCCTAACACACCTTAGAAATTGCTTTAAATCATTGAAAAAAATGCTTGGAAGTCATACCTACCTCACAGGGTGATTGTTAAGAGTAAACCAACTCTTGAATATAAATATAAGAATATAAGAATATAAAAAGTATCCTTAGTTCAGGGAAGGAGCCTTCAAACATGAGCTGACTTTCTAAGAAAAAAATGAATTTGTCTACATGCCTTTATTCTCTCACATAACATCTGTTTTTTGTTTTGGGTTTTTGTTGTTGTTGTTTTGGTTTTTCCAGACAGGGTTTCTCTGTGGCTTTCGAGGCTGTTCTGGAACTAACTCTTGTAGACCAGGCTGGTCTTGAACTCACAGGGATCTGCCTCTGCCTCTGCTGGGATTAAAGGCTTGTGCCACCACCGCCCAGCTTCTTACATAACATCTTAATGCATACCAATTGGGTAGTATCAAATGACTAGGTATTGCATTCCATAATCCCTACTACACATTTTAAAAATTTGGAAGTAAATTAGGTGGAGCTATTTCCACCTCTCCCTCCTACTAGCCTTTCATCACAAATGTCTCTCTATGTGTAATGCCTCTCTAGGCTCACACAAATGTTGGGAGGCTCCTGCCACAGGGCCTTCATACTTGCAATGCACTCTGTCTGGAATAGTGTTCTGAATTCCCCAGTCACATCATAGCGCAGAGACTACCTTTTCCCTCTAGTCTGCTCACAGACATTCCCTTTCAACCGCATTTATCCTCCCTTGTGACAGCCCCTACCCACATGCCTGCTCAAGTTTTCTCCATTAAATGAATTGCCATCAGACACTAAATAATGCATTTTGTTCACTCCTTACATTAGTTTTCTATGGGGAAAATAAGCCAGAAACTTAAAGGCAAAAACCAATCTGAGCAGGGTTAGAGAGATGGCTCAGGAGTTAAGAGTACTTGCTGCTCTCCTAGAAGACTGGAATTTGCTTCGAAGTACCCACTGGCGGCAGCTCACAATTGCCCATAACTCCAGTTTCAGCAGATCAGACCCCCTTCTGATGTCCACGGGCCCCTGCATGTACATAGTGCACAGAAACTCGTGTAGGCACACATACATGGACATTCACAATAAATCTTATTTTAAACAATATCATCTTGTGTGATGAAACATGGTCCAGCCAGGTTTCTCTCCATAAGGTCACCTGTTTAGCAAACTCATTCCCATCTGTAACTAAATTCCCCTTTGCCATGTAATATGATAGCCATAGGTTCTAAACATACACTGTGTGATTGGGGGGAAGTATTCCAGAAGAAGGAATGTAGCAGGGTCTTTTGTCTGTTTTGTTCATTGCTATGTGCCTAGACTGTTCTGCTTAGTGAGCAGGTCCTTAAAATGGACTGAATTTTGTCCCCTCTGATGTATCTGCCAAAGTCCTAGTTCTCAAGTAGAGGTGTTTAGAAATAGGCTTTGAGGACTGAAGGAGTCACAGGACTTGTAAGGCTCTATTATCAAATTAGTGGCAGAGAAGAAAGACTAAGCAGAAGATTATAATGAAGAATGGAAAGTGATGGAGGAGCAAAGACGGGAAAACGGAGACAGTGTTTTCTCCACTAAGCAAGGACACAGCAAGAAGGCAGCCATCTGTAAACCACGAAGAGGCCCCTCACTGGGCAGCAACCTTGCTGTCTTCCAGACCCCAACCTCCAAACTGCTCTCAGGATGTTGTCTCCATCACCTGGTCTATGGTATGTTCATATGGCAGCCCCCCCAAACCAACATTATACCCAATAAATACTTGTTAAGATAATCAGTGAAAAGCTGACTGTAAGCATTGCAGTATCTAATCTCTACCACACACCCAAAGTGTGTGGCAAGTATTTGCTAAGCACTTTGCATGGAATATTTCATTTAATTTTCACAAGATATCTGGATACTGGATACTGGTGAGTGAGTACAGGTTTAAAAATGGAGGTAACTTGCCTGAGGTCAAGATTTAGAAGACATCACAGACAGTCTTGGCAGTGGGACTTAAGCAGTGCCTGTAACCCTCACAATTCCCTGCTATTATCATGGACCTTGTCCTGAAAGCGCCTATAATCTAATCAGAATGACAAGAGAACACAAAAGCAGCAGCACAAAGAAGACTGTGGGGGGTGTTAGGATAGAAAGTGACCAGAACTTTCTGTGGAGCTTGGAGAGAAGGCATTGAATGGAATGAGAAGGATTATGCAGATCCCAGGGATGGGGCAATTGAGCTGATTTTGGAAATGGTAATCATGGTTGGAGTTAAACCAAGATGGAGGAAGACAGAACAAATTGAACTATGCTCAGGACTTAGTTATATGGAAAACTGCTCATGTAGCTACAAAATAAGGACTGGAATCACAAATGCCAGACTGAAGACCAAAGGAGAATTCACAAGATTTGGGAACAGTTAGTGGGGAAAAAGTCACCTGAAGCAACTGCTAAAAAGTAATCTGAAGCTGTCATTCCAAAGGTAAGAAGACAAGAAAAATCAACTTCTTACTGGATAAATATGGTCAAAAGATGTTAGCTATCATTTTCAATTTTCTTTTATTTTGTATGTATGGGTGGTTTGCCTGCATGTGTTTATGTATGTACATAAAGTGCTCCTGGAGGACAGAAAAAAAAAATGTGTCATCTCCTGGGACAGTTGGGATCTGCCATGTGGGTGCTGAGGATTGAGCCTGAGTCCCTGGAACAGCAGCCAATATACTTTATCATTGAGCCATTGCTCCAGCCTCTACTTCAGTCATTTAAAAAGGGTAATTTTTGGTTCATAATTCAAGGTTTAGCGCACAATATGATATACCTTGGATCAGTGGTTTTCAACCTTCCGAATGCTGTGACTCTTTAATACAATTCCTTGTGTATTGGTGACCCTCCTAGCCATAAAATTATTTACATTGCTACTTCAAACTGTAATTTTGCTACTGTTATGAATCATAATGTAAATGTCTGATATGCAGGATATTTGATATGCAACCCCATGAAAGGGTCATTCATCATCTCCAAAGTGTTCTTGTACCACAGGCTGAGAAACACTGCCTTAAATGTATACAGTTTGAAAAGAGCAACTATTAGCAGTGACAGTAACTAGCCTATTCCTAACTTTGGACAAGTGTGTTGGCTAGTTTTTATTGTCAACTTGACACAACCTAGAGTCACCTGGGAAGAAATGTCAATATTGTCTGGATCAGATTGGCCTGGGACCATGTCTATCAGAAACCATCTTAACTGATGATTGATTCAAGAGGACACTGTCCACTGTGGGTGGCGCCATTCCTATGTAGGTGGGTCTGAGCTGTGTAAGAAAGCTAGCTACCTGAGCGTGAGCCAGTAAATAAGATAGTTTCCTTATTCCTTATTCCTCCACGGTTTCTTCTTTAGTTCCTTCTTGAATTCCTGCCTTGACTTCCTTCAGTGATGGAAGTGGAAGCTGAAATTAAACCCTTTTCTTCTCCAAGTTAATTTTTTAAATGTTATTTATCACTGCAACAGAAGACAAGCTAGAATAGCAAACATGAATCTATCATTTCTTTTTCATAGAGAAAGAAACCAGCTGAGATGGCAAACGGCTTGCTCAATACTACACAATGAGTAAGACTGGAACACTGTCCAGCTCTTATGCCCGTAATTGCTCCATGTGTCTTGACATGTGAAGAGGCCGCAATTGTATATTTGTCTCAGTTTACAACATGGCCAGCTTTTGGCTGCTTCAGAGTCTTCTCTGGGTTTGCACTGAATATAACTAAGGAATTTGATACAGGGAGAGGACCCGTGAATCTTGACTGCAAGCTTTTACAGGGAAATGAGAAGGAACATGCTCAACTCACCTGAAAGATTCCATAGAGATACCTTCGAACGTCAGAGACCCAGAGTTGTGAGCCGAATCTGGCTAAATCTTGTCGAGCTGAGATTGTAAATTATGATAATAACACAGGTGGCTGTAAGGATTTACTGGAGATGCACATAACATGCTCAGCAATTGCCTGGTAAGTGCTCAGGAAATGCCACCATCTTGTCTCAGCACAGTTCTCACATGTCCACATGCAGTCCCTCACATGTTCCAGGCACACTGAATCCAGATGTTTCACTATCCCTTGGGATGGTACCCTCCTGCAACTGACAACACAAAGAGAACATTTTCAAGTAGTTTGGTTTGAATTAAATGAACTTCAGTTGCCTCATCCCAGTCAGCGCAAGATAATCTCTACCCTTTCCAACTTACACATTTTTAGTGAGAGGAATCACATGCTGGTCTTCAATGGTGTGTGAGTAAAATCTGAGAAAGATTCTGTTATCAAACCACTTC